TGCTGAGGATATTAGTCTACTTTAGTGAGCGAGATAAAGGGTCCAGTTCGACATTCCAACCACCGGACGAAACGTTGCGACAAAGATGAAGACAATAGTTCGAATAATGTAAATAGTGTCACCTGTGGCTTTATCACTTTGCATGAGGGTCATATGATTTTAAGAATAGGAAGGTAATATGAAATGTTACTGTTTGTTGTTTTTTTCTCAGGAGTCAAATACTTGGTTCGAAAAAATATAAACAGTATCATCATCATCATCATCATCATCCATCCCCAGGTATGGTCTTAGGTACACCTGGCCAGCTTCTTCCATACGTCTTAGTAGGTATTCATTCATGTAAAAAGTATCTTGCACAATGTATGCCGAGCAAAGTCCATCCCACTCCGTGTCAAGCCAGAGGCGATGATCGACTGTCGCGTCAGTCATTGATTCCAGCAGGAGAACCCTCGTCCCTGACCTTTGACCTCCGCTTGAGGATTATTTTCTGTTATTTATTATATATATCGCTTATTATATTTATTTATTATTTAGTTATTATTTATTATTATTTTTATTATTTACTTCCTATTATTTTGAAATTTAATTGTATTGTTTATTAATACCTTATGACAGATGCCCAACTCCCTGAGAGCGTCTCTCTGCGGCTTCTTGGTCTCACATTTTCCACTGACCTGCGGCAGAACGAATACATTAAATAAATATCTTCATCTACCGTAAGGCAAGTTGGTTCTCTTTGTCACGCTAGAAGGTTTTTCTCGCCCGAGCTCACCTTTCAAATTTACGAATCTACCATTCGTCCTTGCATTGAATGCTATCGCTATATATGATCTGGTGCCCCCGCTGTTCATCACGAGGTCCACAAAATCCAGTGACCGATATGCAATGTGATAGGTCCTGATCTGGCATCTCCTCTACAGTTAGTTTCTAACAAAAGTGATGTGGCTTCGATCTGTCTTTTCTACAAATATTTTCATGTCAACTGCTCTGACAACCTATTTACACTGGCACACAAACTGCATGAATTTAAGCGTGCTACTAGGTTGGCGTCTCGGTCACAACATTTCTCTGTAGAAACGACTAAACATAACCGCATCTTCTACTCTTCTCTTGCACTTCCCGACAGTGGAACTCCCTTCCTCTTACTTACTTCCCTGATAGCTATAATCTTAAAATACTGAAATGTAATGTCAATCGACATCTTCTGACGCCTTGATCCTGATCTCCTTGTCTCTATCTTTTCCTCAAACACCTCTCTTGATACTTACTCTCACTCTCTGTAACTCCTTATGTGCCAGTGGCATTCCCACCTTGCTTGGGGTGAAATGCTTAAAAAAGGCATAGCTTTTCGAAAGGTGTTTTTCGTTATCCCTATAACCCTTTGGATTTCGCTGAGTTTCCCAAATACCTTTTGTACTTTCATGAATTTAGTATCTCTAATTCGTATTTCGTATCTTATGCTGTTTCCTTTGCTGACAAAGATATATTCTGCTTCTTACAATTGTTCTTTATTCTTGCTTACTTTTACTACATTTACGACCTTCTATAGGAGTTCCTGCGGTTTCCGTTCTCTGTCTACTGTGCAGCGAACATCGATGACAGTATCCTACATACGTATCTACCCGGTCGATTATTCGGAGGACAACTGACCGGGCAGATACGACAACGTCATAAAAAATATCAAAACAAGCAAACTAATGTATGGATTGCCGTCAATACTGGTCCGAATATTTATTTTTCTCGGCTGAAACACAGTCGTACGTCGTCTATAAATGAAAAACAATGTTTCGCCGGAAATGACACATAGATACCAACTACAAATATTTCAGGAAACATTTATAACAAAATAACAAAAAAAAAAAAAAGAAAAAAAAGAGAGTGAAAAATATTTAGTACAAATTTAAAAGTTTTCTTGAACGGGTCATCATTGTAAACACTATTATGTAAATTTCTAAAGCAAGTCACTAGGTAAAATTGCGTTTGGGGTCTTGCCAGCAATGCCCCACCAAAAAAATTGGCATCGCAGCCAATTTTTGAGTAAGGCGGATAAAATTGCCAGATGTTTTTCTTTGTGAAAATCGGAGATTGTGAACTGAACCACGAAATCCTGCTTTGCGGTTTCAATATCAACGCATTCAAAAAAATTAAAAAAAATGAAGTGAAATGGTTTCCGTCAGCCAATTTTATCTGAGACTATTGTTTTCTAACCTTTTTTTTTCGGAAGGTCGCCTCTAAAAAACTTGATGCTTTTAATCCACACATTCAAAATGTTATCATTATGTTATAAATGTCAGTCTGAGGCGATCATGTATCCTTCCGTATATGACTAACGAGGCAGGTTTTTTTTCCTGCAGTAGGCTGCCATTTCTTTCTACGGTAGACCAGTTGCCATCTAAGGCTATAGAACCATAGGTGGGTGAAGAAGAGGCACGTAAGTGAATGTAATGGATTCGACTGGAATTCGAACTCAGCTCTATTATTTCGCAATCCGAGCCGTTATCCATTACTCCACAGTGTTAACTCTTATAAATGTAGTAGCTGTAATTAAATTCAAAATGAATGTGCAAAATTTATTTTACTTATGTAGATACGTGTCTTTATCTGCGAATGAAAACAGAAGCATTATGCATATTACTTATTAATATGATTCAAATAAGAATAATTAAAACGAACCATGTTGTTTATTTATATGATCTTTGTGGGTGCTGAATAGCAAATCGTTTTGCAATATTTGGTTCTAAATTTTACAAAAGAAATTGTACAAAGCTACAAAGCGTTAAATCCATCATGTTTCTTTTTTACGGTATTCTCAAAGATGAAAAGAGACTCAACGCAACCGAGATGTGGTTCTACAGAAAGATGTTAATGATATCATAGACCAGGCCTGTGAGCAACGATGAGGTCGTAGACATGATGCAAATAAGGAAGAATCTTATACTTAACATCAGAAAGAGGCAGATGAAATTTCTGGGACACATAATGACAAAGGAGGGCCTGAAGAATCTGATACTCACAGGTCGAATAGAAGGAAAGAGAGACAAGGGAAAGCAACACATGACATACTTGGCAGGCTTAAACAGATGGATGACAGAACGTGGTCTTGGGGAGGTCGCAGAGGGAGGAAACTTATTGAGATCTATAAGGGATAGGGGAAAGTGGAGAGCCATGATCGTCTACGTCCTGAAGGGACACGGCACATAAAAAGAAAATGTAGAAAAAATTTTCTCCCATCAGATACTAGGATCCTGTTGATTGGTTTAAACCTGTAGAACCCCTGTGAATTAAACGATCACAACATAACCCCTCTAAATGGTGCTGCTGTAGTTTGCGTGTCCAGAACATTGTATATGGGGTTGTTATTTCCATCTACAAACGGTGTTGAAATCAGAATTGTCATTGTTCTTGAGTTATTGCAAACCAGGTCCCCAATAAACTTTGAAAGTAGCTTCAGACAGGCCGATTTTATAAATCATTCAATATTACTTAGATTATGCAATAGTCGATGAAAGACAGTCAAATTAAGAAGCAATCTCCTGATGAGATAACATCCGATACAAGGCCCACGGAACATTAAAGATGGAGGGTTACCGAGCGAGATTGTGAATGAGTGGGAAAGATTAAGATAGAGGACGAAATTTATAGAATGAATAATATCGGAAAACAAGCCTGGGACTAGGTTCGTTTGCTCTTGTTCACCCGCCATATTTACCTCACTTTTCCCCGACCAATAAATGACTTTTTCGAACGCTGCAAGCAAAAGCGTTCTCTGATGAAAACCAGATTCAATATTTCGTCGAAAAGGTTTTCCCATCAAAAACCTTTGGAATTTTTTTCTTAAAATATATTCCTGTTAAGTAGCAAAAAGTTACTACAAATAATCGTGAATATATAATTAAATAAAATGTAAATTTCTTCTTATTCGTTTAAAGAATAAAGTTCGTAAACAGAGGCGGAAATTATTTATAACACAAACTAATACAGTCGCATACTAACGAGGATATAAGTCTTCGTCGATAACCTTCTAAGTTATTGAATACGATATCTTAGGTTTATATTATTCAAAATTTCAGCAGATAAATTAAATATAAGAAGATAAATTTACCGAGAAATTATGTTACCAAAAACTAAAAACGTATAGAATATATTTTTTATCCAAATATTAGTAAGTCTAATATTAGAATCTTTTTGGTTTAATACGATTCAAAGGAATTTTTCTTCTAATTTTAGATATAGATTCATTGTTTGAAAAGAATTACAAAATTATATATTGATAGTTTTTTTTCCACAACAGGGACACTATCTTTTACCTGACAATCGATAAAACTCAGATGCTCCGAAAATGGAACTTTTTTTTTCCATGGAGGTCTTCTTGAGATCAAAAGTCGTGTTTGCTGTCAAACATAAACCGAGTTAACTCACGTCTGGAAAGTTACTTGCGTTGTGCTATTTCCGGCCTTGTAAGAACACAAGCAGATAATATTTAAAGACTGTCTCAACTTGACCCACGACACGCAGATATGTCTCAGTGTTATTACGTGGTCAGATACACTTCTGATCTATCGTATTTTATGAGTCCGTCCCCCTTCAGGAAATAGGTGATCATGGTTCTCCACACTCTCCTATTCTTTGTGTATTTTAATCTTTTGGCTTTTCGTCGATGTTACACTATCCATTCACAAATAGCAAGTTAGACGACCATCTTCCTCCTCCTGTCTCTTTTGACTTTAATTGGTTGTTTTTGTTTAGCGGCATATCAACACCTCTATGGGTTATTTAATGTCAAAGTCTAAATATTTCGTAGGCAATTATATTTATTTATTATTTTTAGGTAATAATGGTTTTACTGACGTAAGTTTAACTAATTAACCCATAGCTGGGGGAGACGAAGTAGATTCAAACCATTCTCAAGGGTATTTGCGCGTAAGTGAATATAACGCGTCCAACTAGAAATGGAAGCAGGCTTTCCTATTTTCCGAACCATTGTACATAACACCACCCGATTACAGTATCTGGTATTCCTAAGTGGTCAACCATCTAAGTACTGACCAGGCTTGACGTTGCTTTACCTCGGTGATCGTACTGGAACCGGTGTTTCAATTTGCTGTATATATATATATATATATATATATATATATATATATATATATATATATGTGGGTTGGTAAACAGTGACTATTATAGCTATATAGCGAGACTCTTCGCAGATGCGAATTGAGTCACTGTCGGTCACTGGGCGTGTTTCTAAAAATAAATACGCTAAAAAATCCACTTTCGTCCCTACCGTGCGCCGAGGGCTTAATGGTTATAATCTCCGACTGACACCAATTCAGTCGGGATTCGATCCTAGCTAAGAGGCAACCGGATGTCTAGCCACACTGATGAGCTGTGAAACAGCGAAACAGTCTCTCTGTGGATGACGTTATATATATATATATATATATATATATATATATATATATATATATATATATATATATATATATAATAATATATATTAAACACTAATATTCCATGGAATATTAGTGTTTAAGCCTTTTTTTATATCCTTAATCTGTCCTGGGCATTGAGTTCTACCTGGATTCTATCCTCTTGGAATTTTTATTCAAAAAATATACATGTATGTGTATGCCCCTATGTATATATATTTATATATTTTGCATATGTATGCCTATATTTACCACTAATATTACCTACCTATCTATCTATCTATCTATCTATCTATCTATATATATATATATATATATATATATATATATGTTATGGGAACTTACCCATAATAATAATAGACTATTCCTGACATTATAAATACTGCGCTTCTCAAGGTGTATGAGGATTTTGTAAGACGAGGAGAGATAATTGAGAGCATATTGTAAGGACATTGGAATAGTGATACTTGTCGAGACAACATAGTTCACTCTAACCAAATCTGATAGTCATTACTAATACTTCTACTTCTTTGTATTATATTTCTGTTGTAATATATCTTTGCATTCCATACCTGTGTTCGTTTTATTCTTTCATTGGTTCTAACCTTGGACCATCACCGTGGTCCAAGGAACTTGCACCATAACAATATATATATATATATATATATGTTTTGGCTTCCATTTCTTTGTTACTTACGTTCTCTACCTGTTGTATTTTCAGCATCCTTCTGTAGAACGACATCTCTGTTTCTACTAGTTTCTTCTTGTCAGATTGCCCAGCATTCATTGCCATATAAGAGAGTTTATATTACATAACAGTTAAACAGACTTTTGTTTCTTTTTAGGATTTTTCTTAGCTTTTGGAATAGATGTTTTGCTCTTCCAATGTAAACTCAGATTCCGTTGCTACATTTTCCATCCTCTATTAAAACAGTTCCAAGATATTTGAGCTTATGTAATTGCTTGATTTTTAGTTCTCATCTTGGAATTTGTCTCTTGTTGACAAGCTTCCGGTCTGTCTGCTTACAGTTCACGGTTAGTGCTTTCTTCTCACTTTCCTTTACGAGGTCCTCTAGTTTTTCCTTCTATGCCTGCCATCGTCATCTGCGTCTCTTATATTGTTAACATTGCGTCCACCGATAATGAATCCTTCTAGGGTCTCTTTTGTTAAAGAGTGTGGTCATTTGATTATGAAGTCAATGTATGTTCAAAAAATTGAGACTATCATACAAATAACTATGTTCTTCCCTATTACGGATGAAGAGGAAATATAGATATATATAGATATATTTCTAAAGAAGAATATCGAGAATAAATTGGACAAACAAGGAATCTTTTAGACAATTGGAAGAAGAAGAAGGAGGAGGAGGAGAAGGAGGAGAAGAAGAAAGAGGAGGAGGAGGAGGAGGAGAAGAAGAAGAAGAAGAAGAAGAAGAAGAAGAAGTTTGCTCCTGTCTTGTGATCATTATTCTTTTATTACCACTGAACACATCTCTGACTGAATTCTTTTTATTCCTAATAACTTCTACGCGATATAGAACAGGTTACTAATGCCATTGTTGAATCTGTTTAAATGTTCGCATTATCACAAGACAAGAATATTATATTTCCATGGCAACTGTTTACTCCCTGATACATCTATCGCATGAATTTAAGCGTACTACCAGATTGGCAAGTAAGTCTCACCTTATTAATATTCAAGTAGCTATATGGAACCGCATGTTCTATTCTAATAGTTTCTTTTCTCAATCTTCCCACCTGTTGAAGTCTCTTCCAATTATATGCTTCCCTGCCACCTACGTTTTTAAAAAGTTTTAAATGCAAAATTATTCGCCATCTTTTGATCTTCTTGGAACCTGTTCTTTTATTGTCTTTTCACCTCACTAAAGTCTTCTCATTCTCTTTCACTCAACGTAATCCCCCACGTCTTAGTGATATTATTACCTTTCTTGGGTGAATTGATTTAAAAAAAGTGTTAACGGATATCAGAAAGTGATAGTTAAAACTTCTGTGATCCATAATGAAGAAAAGAAGGCTTAGAGAATTTAACACGCCTTATATATCATAAGAAAAAGGGAGGGAACGAAAGAAATAGAAAGAAGAAGAAGAAGAAGAAGAAGAAGAAGAAGAAGAAGAAGAAGAAGAAGAAGAAATTCTATACTATACTCTTGTGAACACTTCTTTGTCATTACCACTGAACATGTCTCTGAGTGGATGCAGGGTTTTTTTTTCTTTCCCAGTATTGTCTACATGTTACAGAACTGGTTACTTATGTCATTGTTGGATATATTTAAATTGTTCTCATTGCCACAGGTTTCGAATATTGTATTATTTACTCATGGCGATTATTCTGAAGAACTTCCCTCTTTTGGTGACTCATCTACGTAAATTTAAGCAAACTACGGTGGAGTAATAGATAACGGCTGGAACTGTGGAATCCATTACATTCACTTGCGAACTAATGCCCTTGGGAAAGGTATGAATCCTCTTTTTCTGCTCCCCGCCAGATATGGGTCAGTAGGACATAACGGGTTCTATAGCCTTGGATGACAACTGGTCTACAGCAGAAAAAAATAGCAATATACCACAGGAAAAAATCTGCCTCGTCAGTCATGTATCGACAGATACATGATCGCCTAAATGAGTATCACGCATGGCACTTAACTGACTGACTCGATTAATAACTAGACTCCACCCTTTTACTGTTTAACTGGCTACATGCAACCCCATGTCATATCCAAATAGTTACTTTTCTCGCACTTCTCGCGTGTGGAACTCTCTTCTGATTACTTGCTTCCTTACAACCTTCAGACTTCAAAAATCTAAATGCAACGTCAATTGCTATCTTATGTCTTGCTGAAACCTATTCTTTTATTGTCTTTTCTACTCACTAAAGTTTTCTCATTCTCATTCATTCCCAGTGACTACCCTCTGTGTCTTAGTGACATTATCGCCTTTCTTGCGATGAAATGATTTTTTTTTTTTATAAAGTGTTAATGAATGTCCATTTAAAAATATTCTGAGGGGTCGATTGCATTTACTGCAGGTTCAGATGTAATTCACGAAGAAAAGAAGATATTTTTAAAAATCTCCATTGACGTAAATGGCGGGATTTTTGAGATTTATTGCTCTCCTTGGAGATTCAAGGCTCGTTTCTCGATAATTTATGATACGTTGGTATCAATCGGATTGAACGAAAGATTAATTACGGTGAAACCACTGGATGATATCCTTTAGCTGCTCTTTCTTTCTCACAAACATTCAATCACACATGCTGCACTCACTTGTTAATTCACTATTTTTCTCCTCTATTTGTTCTCATATGGGCACACACGCATCGCATATATGTACACGCCTAATCAGAAAAACACACACAAAATACACAATACATACATATACATATACATATATATATATATATATATATATATATATATATATATATACAAAATATATAATTTTATAGGAAAAGAGTTCAATATAGATATAAAAAATCGCAATTATATAGAAAATATAGGAATCAAACGGAATGTTCAATCAATAGAAATAAAATCGTTTGCCAAACATATAAACAGAAATCTCATATCGAGAATATTCCACATTGAACATGAAGAAAAATTAATTATTTTTAATAATATTAAAAATCTCCAATTTCATGAAGACATATACCAGAATATATATAAATTATATAAATATATATAATATTTTATATATAAATATACAATAAAAACGGCATGGCACCCCTCTTCTTTTTTAATATACAATTTTATATTGGAACCACTACAACATATTACTTTATATATATATATATATATATATATATATATAAAATAAAATTTGCAATTTTATATAGGAATCAAATAGATACAAAATGTTTAAATATATAGAAAATATGGACATAGGAATATATATATATATATATATATATATATATATATATATATATGTATAAGTGAACATTGAAATCAACACTCAGAGGCGATAGGCTGTTTCATGCTGGACAAAATCATCAGGCAGGACGATTGCATCCAGTATGAAAGAGTCTTATAATATTGAAGACGTTTGTAAGACTAGCCATACATCTCTGAAGAAACGATAGCGTTGAAATGGTTCACAGTGTGCCATGAAATTGAAAAACAGCATGTCACATCACTTATTGTTAGACGTTAAGCGTAAAAGCTTAACGAGAAGACATGTACTTCAATGTAGCGATACAAGAATAAGTGATAACATGAATTGTACATTTTTTCTACACAGGTTACCAAGCAAGACTAGAATAGCCAGTCTACCCTGCTATTCAGCCCATAGAGGAAAGTCACTTGCGCAAATGTGAATGCAGAAGATCAACTCGCAATTCGTACAAGGCTCGAAGATTTCATATTCCTCGCCACACACACACACACACACACACACACACACACACACACACACACACACACACACGCACACACACACACACACATATATATATATATATATAAAATATATATAAAATATCAATATAAAACAAATATAAACTATATTAATATATATATATACCAAAAATGCACAATGCGATCTTCAAGTGCTGAATTATGCATAAAAACTCCGCGTTGTGGTACCAGTGAGGAGAAAAAAATTATATATATATATATATATATATATAATTGTAGAAGAAATCACTAGCTTTAAGTCATATTACTTAATCCTAAAAACTAACTCATTTTTGTGCTCAGACCAGCCACCAAAATTTGAATTTCTATATTTATATATATTAACCAATCAGCGTCCATATTATACGCGCGGTTTTCTTTGAATATGAAGATGATTAAGATTTTTTCTTACCTACGAAATTTTGAAAGATCACTTCAGAATATGATCAACAATATTTTCCCTCATTAAAATGGATATTTCAAAATTGGCAAAATATTTATTAACCAATAAACGTGAGATTAATAATTCTATTTTTTCTGGAATCGATGTTTCGTTATGTAAATGATCAATTTTGGTTACTTAATTACTTTTTCAGTTAATCTTTGACCAGTGTGTTCGTTTGTTTGTTATACAAACAAAATTAAAATTTTTACACTTAATTAATTACTAACATTTTTCGCATATTTATTCGAGTATATTATATTACACAAAATTCTTAGCGATATTGACACATAAAAGAATCATGTGGAGTAAGTTATTTTTCAAGCATCAACAGTTGGAAACTAGCTTCGCAGCTTATTCATGTGGCCGATTGCTACAATATATCCGCATACATAAAACAACGTACAGCGTCCTGGGTATGACGATAAACTACATCCACGTCCAGGGTAAGAGGATAAACTACGTCTAACAGCAAGGTCTCTGATCAGGAGGCTTTGAGGAGCGTGGAACCACCTCTTAATTGCTGGTGTTCCCAGATCCACCTTGACCCGGGGTGGTAGCACCTGTTAGGGTCCCAGCTATGAGCAAATAGTTAACCCCGAAACTGAGGTAAAAAGCATTATAAAAGTGTAAAAATAGGTTTTAATGCCAGAAATACTTTGTAAAAAATTATTACCAGAAATTAAATTTTGGAGAAAAAAAATAAACTATTACAGCAAGATATTTAAAAAAAACAAAAAACAAACTATTACCAGCAATACATGTGATTGTACTCAAAAATATGAATAACTGAAAAATGGTTCAAATATATGTGTATACATACACACCTTTTTTTAACCAAACTATCGCTATGAATCTATTTCAAAAATTTTGTTGGCATTAAATGACCCACTGATGTTTTGATATGCCATAAAACAAAACAGCCAAACTAAAACAAACAACGTAAATCCGCGTCACATATTTTTATATATAGACGCATTCTGTTTCTTCTATACTAACGCAAATCCATTCGGTTGTACTTTAAAAAAATACACAAAATATTTTTTTGAAGTTGTTTCGATAAGAATCATTGTAATTCATTTATTTCAATTTGAAAGAGAAATAATACACAAATAATGAAACTTATTCAAATTTGAAAGTCGTGTTTAAGATTAGCATATTTCTTCGCTTTATGCACACATATATACACACAACACACATTCACACAACGCACACATATATATGTATAAGTTTCAATCAAATTTTCAAAAGTTCTCTTGTGAATCTATCTATCTATCTATCTATCTATCTCATTTTGTCTGTCTGTGTGTCTGTCGTGGGCGTTGTTACCTCGCCCAGGCCGCATTTCTCAAACGATTTCGATGCGGTTTTCACCACAAGTTTGCAAATGGCTGCCGTAAGGACATGACGGAGCCCGATTTTTGAGTTCGGACTCAGGTTCCGAAAAATCGATAATCGAAAAAATCGATAATCGAAAAAATCGATAATCGAAAAAATCGATAATCGAAAAAATCTGCTTACAGAAGGAATGATCGCATTTCAACCAAATTTGACACCCTCTTAGAGTCTACCATTAGAAGTGTTTTCCAGAAGTTTCATGACCACGGACCCCTAAACAGCGCTGAAAATCGATAAAACCCCAAAACCGATACGCCCAGATTGCGTCTGAACCGCATGTCGGCTTTTAGCGAAAACCGACCGGATTCATTGGGAGTCATCATGTGAAGTTTCAAATCTGAGCGACCCTCCCGCCCCAAACAGAGTGCAAATCGACAATCGGTCAACTCTTAAAAATGTTTTTCCGGTTGGGTATTTCCTAAATGCAGATTAATTTAAGGTCACGCTATGCGCGGGAAGAAACAGCTCAGTGCGTCCAGTGGAATGGAAGAAAACATTTGACCTCACGATATTTGATTCTGGAATGGGTGAGGGGCAATGAAATTCGGCTTTTTTTATCCCTGCTACCAGGTCTGACTTTGAGCCACAAATGACATATTCAACTTTGTCAACACTTTTGCTTTAATCGTCGCATCTTACCAAAATAAGCAATTCCTTTATTCGCGTCTTTACTGAAAAAAAACCCGCATACGTGCTGAGTGAAAATGGTTCCGCCCTCAGCAGTCCATTTTCCAATTCTTTAAATCTTTTCCCCTAGCCCAGGCCACATCCCAAACCTGACGAGGAGTTTTTGCGCTAAAAAATCCATTTCAAAGCTAATGCCGGCAAACGGTTAGCGGCTTTTCGTTGTCGCACAAACCAAACGAGCAAATGCTTCATTGCAGCTCGTTGCATTCTCATCGCCGGCATCACGTGCGTTAGAGCCAAGCTGCATATGCAGCAGGCACCTTGACCCCGTTTACGGCCAAGCCTTGCGCTTGCCAAATCATGCGCGCGTGCGTGAATGCGCGATAGTATCTTCCATTCATTGGTCTAAGTCATGGCCATTGTCCAGGCTAGCCCAATCAATGACAAGTTACGCTCCATTTAAATACCTTCAGCGCGGCTGCATCCGCCGTCACGTCTTGATTTGATCGCCATTAACGCATCTGTCCTTGGATTAATTGACAGCTTCCTGCAACTGCAAGTTACCTATTTGCTTAAACGTTTGCATTACCCATTTTATCTCCGCGTGCTGCCTCTACTGCGCAGCCCAGTCCATCTTAGCGTTCCATACATATTTCTACCTTTTCGTAGTTCAGTTTTGCTATTAGACAGTTAACTGCTGTCGCAAGTTACTTCTCTTCTGCCTATAATACGCGGCCCAGTGCACCTCAGTTTGTCACTACTTTTTAACATTCAACGCTTCAACGTTTTGGTTGCGTAACCTCTTCCTACAGCGACGTTTTGCTGTAGAAAGCACGGCCCAGAAAAGCTTTTTCCATACTGCTCCACTTCATTTTTAGTTTTCGTATACAACGAGGTCGCACCGCTTCAACTTCGGCATCAACTTCTATTCGCTTTCTTACACAGCATTTCTACAACCCTTCAAATGGCTCCTACACGACGAACATCCGCACGTCAGCAACTGAAGACCCCTAATACCGTTAACGTTACACATGCAGAACAGGCGACTGCGGATGAGCACATAATAACTCCGGTTACAGATGATCATATAGCGTCTACTTCAACTTCTGCTTTGCACTCTTCTGCGTGCCGTGGCGATGACCAACACGGCAGCTCTGCAAAGGCTGCAAAAACAACCAGGCGAGGCAACCTTAGCAGGCGTTCTAAAAAAGCCTCACCGGATAAGGGGAAACGGGAGCAGGATTCCATTGAGTGCGCCTCCTTTGGGGGAGAAGTAGCTGGCGTCTACTTCAACCTCTGCTTTGCACTCTTCTGAGTGCCGTGGCGATGACTGACACGGCAGCTTTGTTAAGCGTGCCAAAATACCATGGCCTTAGGCAACCTTAGCAGGAGTTCTAAAAAAGAGCCTCTGCGGCAAGGAGAAAGGGAGGAGGAAACCGAGGTAGAGGCCTCTTTGAGGCTTTCCAGTCAATCTCAACGGAGGCAGTTATTTTGTCACATGAAACGCTTGGTGAGCGTAACTACCGTTTGTACTGCAAATCAGTTTACACATATTCGTTGAAAAGTAAGAGGAAACTGCCTAAACGCTAAAAGCAGAGCCCGCATCGAAAAGCTACTCGCAATGCAGCCGACGCCGCTGCAACTTCCATTCGACGGTCCCAGGAGACCACGGCTGAGAAAACCGCACGTAACGTAGTGAAAGTTGCGGCAACATCCATTCGACAGTCCCAGGAATCCATGGCTGAGAAAACCGCACGCCATGCAGCCGACGCCGCTGCAACTTCTGATGCAAGGGCGTCGGAAAGTTCCGCTCAAAAGCGCACAAAGCGGCAACGAGATGCAATTTCAACTTCCATGCTAGGCCTGTTGAAGGACCTACTGAAAGACTTGAAAGGTTGCAGACTGTTAACCAGCGCCGGCATGCAAAGCGAGGGCTCTGTAGCCCACCAAAGCAGTTTTGGTTTAAGCTGGCGTTCAACTATGAGCCAGTTTTGAGGCTTTCCGGTCGCAAAGACCTCCAAATAGGATCCATGTCAGTTGTCTGTGGGCATTGCAATGCCAAAAAATGGCCTGGAGATTCTGCAGGTTTGTGTTGTTCAGACGGTAAGGTACAGTTGCCACCTTTCCAAGAGCTACCTGCTCCGTGGAAAGCTCTGTTAGAGGGTTCCAGTCCAGACTCCAAACATTTTCTCGCAAAAATCAGACAGTAAAATTGTGCATGGAAAGGAAAAATGGACTGGAGTTTGCTGAGGACTGGCTGAGAACTTTAGTGCAGACCGCATTTTCAGTTTTTTGTGAGGGTGAATAACGGAACATCATCGCGCCTGCCGACTCGAGAGCAGGCTACATAAAGTTGACCTTATGAGAAGCACTGCTCCTCTAAGTGTACACCAGTGACAGACAGTGTTTGTCCTTGGGCCTTATTAATTGTCATAGCAAAACAGGGTGCGAATGGGAATGGGGATCTTCCGAAAGTGAAGGGTACATCGGCATCTGATGGATACAAATGCATCCTTGGCATAAGCACTTGCTCCCCTTTACCGCATTACTGTGAAGCATTGAACTCATCGCCAACTAATGTATAGTTTCAAGCATCAATTGTCTCTCCTCACATCACCATACCATATGTACAGAAATGAATGACCCCGACCAGATTACGGGCCCTTTCAAAAATGCGTGCGAGACCACTTCGTGCAGCAAAAAAAAATCGAAAAAAGCTCCAGTTCGACCCTGCCATCAGCTGTCAGTTTTAGACTTCTTTTCACACCCAGGCTGCAATTAACGTCAAATGTCGATTCAAAATCCAACATTTACGGCGTCAATTCGTAACGGAAACAGATTTTCAATTTGGACTCAGGATTTCAAAAAATTGGTAAATCGGCTGGTACTCCGGTATTTAGACGGATTATATTCTAAAATTTCGGGCGTGCTTTACAATTCATTCAGAAATTCCTACGCGGCCCAGTTAGAAGTGCCTTGCATAGAATGCCGTGTGACCCCGTCGTGACTCAAAACTCGATACAAACCTCCGTGTTGACCATACCATCAGCAGTCCTTTTCCCACTTCTTTAAACTTTGTTCATTCTCCCAGGCCGCATCCCAGATCCGATTTTTCAATTTACGTCATTGTGTCATGCCGGAGCCCGATTTTTTATTTGGGACACAAACTTTGTCAAAAACCGATTAACTCACAGGTGATAGGGATTTTGGGGTTTTAAGTTGAATGTCTCGCCTGCACTACGTGGCCCAGTAGATCTAAGCTTTTCACCACATTTGGGACTCTGTGCAGTTGACTTCGCGTTGTTAAACACATTTGAGTTCTATATATTTGACTTTAAAATCGGACCAATGTATGGTTTCCAAAGTACCGGATTAACCAAACAAGGGCAACAACAATCCCGCCCAAATAGTATGACCAGTCTCAATATTTCAGTAAACTGGGTTGGGTGTGAAAAAGTATTTGTTAACATTCTTTTTTCATTCGGTTTTTCCAGTGACGAGTCCTTTTTTAAAGCTGATCGTTTTGTGTTCATTTTGTTTAGTTCTTTTTTCGTAAGAGATTTAATGTTTAGTATAGTGCTTAGAAAAAATTGGCAGTGTGAGATAGGCAAGAAGTAAGGCATGTAGCAACATCAGCACGGCAAAGGGAACTCCTTTAAAGGCAAGGAAGGGCAAAAATATTTTAAGTCAAGTGAGAGCGATTGCTGTATGAGTTGTCCGAATTGGAATCAAGAACGGGCAAAGCCGGGCCATGCTGCTAGTATATAGTATATATATATATATATATATATATATATATATATATATATATATATTCCAAAGAGAACTTTTGAAAATTTGATTGAAAACATTCACTTTCCGATCATGGGACCCGGTTTCGAATATCAACGTAGTCGGTTTGTCAGGAAGGGGACTTCTTCATGTTATTGGCCTGTAGATATGATCCCATCGTGCGTCACTTTAGGAAAGAGCCTGAAAACCATACCACGGGTTGACCCAAGCTTTGGGAATCATATTCGTTAGACGTAACTACTCGAGAGACCTCAGTGTTTGAGTTAGCACGACGTCACAAGTCATAAGTGAGTCATTCACGGCTAACGCAGTGCCTTTTCATCTCCTGCGTTAGGATCGAAACTGCGATGGCATTGGTAGTTCCTGCTCTTCAATTACGGCTTCCTAAAGTTATGTGCACAAATACCTGGCTCACCGTGTATATATCTCCAGCAATCATGTCTTACTCTTGCCTCTGTTTCCTAAAGCTATTCGTCACCCACCATTCACTCTTCCTTCTTACTCTCTCCCCACGTCACTTTGCATCACTTCCTTTTCTTTCTCTTTTCTCTTCACTCTTCTCCGAGCCGGCGTGAGATCTCGACATTAATTCTCCGAGAATGTTCCACTTTCCTGTGCGATTTCCTACATCCGACATTTTTAAGATAATAAGGAATCAATATTACGCGACACCAGAATTATACAAACAAACACAGACTGGTGCATACACAGAAGGAGATACACACGTATATACATAAATAAAATAGGACGTCAATAAAACCGTTACTCGATACTGTTATTAGTTGAATTTCGATCAGAAATGTTCAATGTATAATATTTGACTTATGTGATTAATAAAGGCGAGTTGGGTTAAGTGCATTGCATGGAAAAAGAGGAAGATAGAAAATAAATGCTTCTAGCGGATTATTGGTGTCTTTCTCTAAGTAGACACGTACGGGGGTTGAGAAAGCCATAAAACCCATCCTACTTGAACTTTAAATGTATTTGCTAGTAACCTTGTTCTTTTGTTTTGTTTTCTGATTTAGTTATATAGCATTATATATCCAGAAGTCAAAGTGAAAACATCACCCGGTTGCTGTGTGATCACCGATGTTAAGCAACGTTGAGCCCGGTGAACATCTAGATGGATGACAGTTTGGCAATGCCAGCGTCTGTTAGTTTGGATCTACCGTTGGAATGGGAATTTTCTATTCTTATTGGGTTCTTTATACTGATTTACGCGCAAAAACCCTTGGGAAAGGTATTCACCCACCTGTTCTCTCCCCAGTTATGGGTTAAGTAGTAAGGTAGCTGCTGTAACCCAGGGAAGGTTTCTGAACAGAATAATCACACAATGTTAGTAATGAACGATAATACTTAGGACAAGAACAACACATATAAGATTCTCCAGCGTAGAAGTGCGTAGAAGAAGTTGTCAACTACTAGAAGTGAGTCAAGTGAATTCCACAACGAATCTCCAAATGAAGGCTATCTACAAATCGCCCCACGCGGTTAGATGTGACACAAGGCCAAATTTAATATGGGGTATTCGAGCCTGTAGGCTCGGCCAAAAATACCCTGTAGACTCCGTATAAAACAGGGTCGGATAGCTGTTTCCCAAGACGAGACTCTACCCTTAGACATAGCCTCGTCTGTGGATCCTTTCTGCACGGAATCAGAGAGTTCAACCAGTACAGCTGGAGACGAATCTTCAACTGCAGACCAACATACAGTACTTACTACTGTATTTATGTGAATAGGGACATAGCCATTATCGTCCGTAGGTATGTTACAACAGTGCCACTAAATCATTATTATCTTCAAAAACATTCTTAGAATTTAAAAAAAAATATTCTGGCATTAAATAAAACCTGAAAAGTGTCGATAAGCCATAGAAAACGAATCAATTAATCAATCAATTAATCAATCAACTATTAAAATGTTCTACCACTAAATATCTTTCAAAATGTCACACCCATTGGACACTGGAGGAAAATTTATAAAATTGTCACTGGATTTATGTTTTTAAAATGAATTGCTTGACTGATTCTACGGCTTATCAAGCCCTTGCAAATTATTTAAAACAAGAAAATAGTTTTCATTTTAACAATTTGTCTTTTTTACGTTATTTATTTTAGTTGAGGCGAACGTGTGGATTCCATTATGTCCCAAGGGTGTCTGTAAATGATTATATGACAAATGGAATTGGAATTTGGCCCTCCAATTAAACATTCCGAGCGATTATCCATTAGATGCAAACTCACATGAACTGGTATTCCCAAGTAGTCACCTATCTAGGTGTTTACCAGGTATGACATTGCTTAACTTCGATCCTGCTACAGGAACTGGTATCTCAACGTGATAAGTCCATAAACCTGCTTTTACAAAGAAGAAGAAATGTAATCATTTACATGGGGTACGTCTTATATGCCGTGTCCTTTTAGAACAGGGACAAACTTGGCCACGTAGAACTTCCTGTCCTTTGTAACTCTAATAATGTTTAGTTCTTTATCGAACCTTCCAGTTACTGCTGTGTAATCCGTTCGCAACTTTTCCTCTTGTCCTCCCTTCCGCAAGCTTCCTTTCCACATTTCTCTTGTCGTCTCTTCTGCAAAGGCTCTTTCCAAATATTGCTTCACGTGCATTTCAACTAACCCTTTCTGATTATAAATACGTGTTACAATTTCCTTCAGAAATGTCTCGTTGACACATGATAAGACCATTTTATCCTCAGCATCCATCTGTTGAACCACATCCCTTTCACTTAGCTTTTCTTGATCATAGCACCAGTGTAATTCCCACCGCCGTAACGTAGCTTTCCTATGCCTAATATATAAATATTCAATGGTAATCGGCCTAAACTTTCTGAATTTATGCCCTGTACTAGATTGGCGGCAAGGTCACATCATTTCACAGTTGTTATGGCTAAATCTAACGGCATGTTCTATGCTAACAGTTTATTCGATCGCACTTCTCGCTTGTGGAACTCTCTTTCTTTTTCATCAGTCAACTTTGATGCCAATCGTTATCTTCTCTCTTCTGTCTTCGTATTTTTTCCTTCTCTCTAAAAAGTAGTTTTTCTCATATTCTCTAAAAAGTAGTTTTTCTCATATTCTCTAACACTCAGTAATCGCCTTGCACCCTAGTGACTTTATTGCCTTGCTTGTTGTGAAATGACTTAAAATATATAACAATATTTTTCACCATTCACATATAG